AGTGAAGGCAGAGCTTGAAAAGCAGATAGATCTATCTGCGCCATCTGATGGGGCCTCGTATGTAGAGCAGTGGGCAGACTTGCTGTCCGCTACAAAGGCTGCTGCTGCATGATCACCGCTTTTCACCCAATGAACGGCTCCTTAGAGGGGTCAACAGTATATCTATGATTTAACCTGAATTTGTCTGTCCTGCTTTCACTCGTCTCGAATCGCCTCGGTACCTTCGCTTTCGTTCTCCTTTCTGCATTGAGCGTCCACTGCGGGCGGTTATTGGTCCTTCTTTGCTTCGTTGGCTTCCTCTTCGGTCGTCTTTGGTTGCTTCAGCCAGCTGTGGCGCACCACGAAACTCCAGAAGAAGCAGGGCACGAACGGCACTAGTACGATGTAGAAACCCTCCAGTTGCGGTGTGTAGAAGTGTAACACCGACAACACTGCGCACAGCGCCGTGAAGAAGGCGTATACACCCGCGACGAAGTTGTAGTTGATGGTCGGCGACGGCGTGAACAGGCCCATTATGCAACGCTGAAATTGGATTTGGGAATAATTAATTGGGTTTTGGTTATCAAACACCAAGTCTAACGTTATTTGGACAACACTTTTTTTTTCAATTTCTTACCCTATTCGTACCTATTTCAATAGGGTATTGAAATAGGGTACGAACAGGGTAAAAACAAAGTCGTGCCTCCGGCCCGAAAAGGCTCTGAAATTTAGGTAAAATAATGGAGCGATTCCCGCAGCAAGTTTGGGATCCTAGATTTGTCGTTTCTCCAGTTTAAAAAAATAAATCTGGAAGGGGGGTCGGGACCTCCCTTCCAAACTCCAAGTCAAAGAGTTTGGAATCATAGAAAAAGGGCAGCAGTCTAGGATTGTAAAGACCTCAAAAAAAAAAGGAAGTGGATAAAGTCACACAATGGGATCCACTTCGAGTCCGGTAATTTAAAATAAAATCCCGAGAAACAAAAAATTTCGACAAACAGGACAAAAAGAAAACACCCCTTCCTTCCAGCCCCCTCCTCCGTGTCACCCTCTCACTCCCCCCTTTCACCCGTCCCCGACGATTTCCTGCCGTTCATTTCGAAACAGGACCAAATTCGACAAAATGGCGAGCGTCGCGTCGACTGGCTCGGGATCGGGCGGCGAGAGTGAGCCTGCCGAGGCGAGCTCTCCGGAGATACACGTCCCGGAATCGCGGAATAAGTCTACGTGTGCTCCCCCGTTGGAGCAGCGCTGTTACACAACGTGGAGTGCCTTTTTAAAGGCGTTGGAGCAGTACCAAGAGCAGACCCACCAAGTGTTCCGTAAGCGTACCTCTACAAGTGCTGCATCTAGGAATGCTGAATTAGCGAAGCGAGGGAAGCTGACAGAGACAACAAGAATTCCTGATTCGTTCGACAAATACTACCGGCGACTGTGTTGCACGCATGGCTGGAGTCGGGTCAGTCGGTCTACTGGCAAGCGCTCAAACTACTTTGTCAAGTCGACGGGGTGCGAGGCTCAGATCTCGGTTACAGTGGTGTGGACAGGAGATCATGGTTTTCAAGTGAAGATAACTCAGTAGAACACGACGTACAACCACTGCCTCGGGCAGATAAGTATGACAACCAGATGATGAAGAGATGCTTGATTTTGTCGACGAGCTACAAGCTGCAGGGGCAAAAAAAAGTTGATACTTGCATTTTTGCGGCGCCGCTCGGGTACTAGTACTATCATTTGCTATTTTTTATTGCTATAATATTGCTGAACTAATGTGTTTCATCGGGCAGGCAAGCAGGTAACCCTACGTGACGTGTACAACATGGTGCAGAAGCTCAAGGAACAACGCCGAGGATCTACTACTGTTGAAGCAAGGTTAGAGTCCAACCTTCGAGACTTCTGCTTGCGAATAGGAAACACGGCTACCATCTACGTGGATGATGACAAGTTGGTCCAAGTAATTACTTTCCAGCCTCATCAAATGCGGCGCTTTTTCGAAGCTTTTCCTGAGGTTTTGATGATCGACGCGACTCACAACACTAACGACGCCAGATACAAGCTCTTCAGTTTCATGGTTCACGACGTTTTTGGCCATATAAGAGCGCTTCATCTATCTTTCACGTCTGACCGTCTAATGTTGATCGTTGTTTTTGTTTGCACGGTGACTACTTGTGACTATTGTGGCGTGTTGACAAATGTGTGACTTTTGTGGCGATTTACTGTGGTATTGTGGTGTTTTGTGATTTACGTGGTGGCGTTGTGGCATTTTGTGGTCTTGGTGTGGCGATGTGGTATTTCGTGACTTCGTGGTTTTCGTGTGTCTTCTGACACACAGGGCCAATACGTGTGCTCTTATGGAGAATGAGAGTGCAGAGTGTCTTTCCGATGCGATCAAATCTTTCAAGTCATTTAACGCAACGTGGGATGGCGTTCGTGTAATCATCGTCGATAAGGACTTCGGAGAAATTTCGTTGCTGCAAGCTGCTTTTCCGGCTGCGCGAATTCTCCTTTGTGTATTCCACGTTGTTAAGTATTTATGGACCGAGATGGCAAAGCGTGTGTACGGACTTCTTGATCGTGAAAAATTCGAAGACGCTGTTCATATGATGCTAGGTGCACAAACGGAAGGCGAGTATGAAATTGGTCGCAAGTATTTGTACTACATCATGGAAGAGAAACAGATTTTGAAAGATGAAGAAGTACCGGGGCCGGAGCACGCATTCTTACAATACTTTGACTCGAATTGGCACCATGCAGAGAAATGTGGAGCGGCTTTGGGCGTGTTGACGTCCCGCATTTGGGAAACACAACAAACAATCGCCTTGAAGCAGCATGGGGTTGTACGAGTTGCAGCCGTGGAAACGATTCGTGCACTGG